CTATACACTGAGAAATATTAGAGAAAAATGGACGCATGTATCATGATTCAAAGAACGAGTAGTTTTTCCGAATAAATATTACTTCTTTTTTTTGATTTACAGATAATTTTAGAAGTGATTATCTCCGATTGGATATTAATGAATTCAACTTCAATTGCAGCAGTAAGTCTCTTATGATTATGGCATGTTTTACAAATTAATCTTATTCTCTTGAACCAGTTATTCGCATGCTTTGACTTAGTATTTTCACTGTAGGAATTGAATGTATTGCTACTGCATTATATTCATTCTATATAGAAATTCCAAATAACAGATGTTTTTAAAACATTATAAGTAGTTGAACATTATTGGCATATGCTTAATATTCAACGAACGGTTTACTAACAGTTAGTAAATTTTGTTTCCACTATCGATATGACCATTTATCGAAATGGAAAAAAAGGCAAAAGATATTTTTGTAATAGGCATCGATACCGAAAGATTGATATTGGAAAAAAGAATATAACATATCCTAATATTACGTATTACTTTTTTGTAATTTATCGTTTAATTCGAAGTATTTTTAAAGTCTCACCACGCATGAACAGTAAAATATTTTCGTTGAATAGGTTCTGATAATTCGTAAATTCTCTGAACGGAGAAATATTTTATAAATTGTATGTGTTCTGTATGAAGATACATTTATCTGTCTTGCCAAAAGAAGTGTCTGCTAGTATAGCACATTTTGAGTGTGTTCATTTCTTTCATGTACCGTAGTTGATACACATAAGTCAAGTGATAGCAGAGAAAATATATTTTACGCAAGCAAGATGCCTATGAGAACACATTCATACCAGCCAACATTACGTTGTGAAATGACTTGATTGAGAACTTCGCTCTTGTGTAAAGCACAAACAATTTCGTAGCCTTCTAGGGAAGACTGATGACTTCTTCCTCTCTCTTATCCCATCATATAATGATCGAAACACCGATATTCATTTTGCAAGGCTGAGAAGGGGCCAGTTGAACAGTGATCTTTGTGTTCGTAAACTTATCTTAACTCCAGCTTGCGCTTGTGGTGCTCGTGAGACAGTGTCTCATTACCTGCTTGAATGCAAGAACTATACTCAATGGCGTGTGAAGCTGCTTCAGGAATTTGAGTGTTTGTTTCCTAACACTAATATAACTACTTACCATCTTTTGATGAGACATAAAGGTCTCCGCAAACTACCCGAGTTGAAGAAAATATATTATACTGTTTCTGATTTCATAGCAGATACATCAAGATTTGATAATACTTAATGTCGTAGTTTATTGTACAGTTATTTATAGTACAGTTGTACATATAGTCACTACACCTATGGAATGTTCGTTCGTTAAACACAATTTTGATTATATTTGTTTTTCGCTCTTTTCACACACACACCATATTTGTTATTTCTTTCTTTTACCTTATTCATTGTTCTTGTGACATTTATATCTTATTTTAGCATTCTCTTTTGCTAGCTCTTTGTATTCACTATATTAGAAATCAAGATCTACAACGCCTAGACGATTGATCTCTAATAAATCTTTAGATTAAATACGTTTTATGTATCCTAATACGATGCACATGGTTTTCATTCGTCGATTTTGTGGTGTTATAGCTTAACTATGTTTCAACTGATATAGATTTTTGTTAGAAATTTTGTCATTTTCTCGCTGGCTTGCCGAAATTTGAACTTCAATGAGTTAGTAGTCGGTTCTTAACCATAATAGTCACTAGATATTTCTCGCACCATGCAGTCTCTAAATAGATACTCGATGTTGAGTTGCGTCCATTTACATGAGGCTGAATACTAACTGGTATAGACTACATGGCAGTCGAATAGATTATAAGAAGTAAAAATTAATCATCAAAATTCAACATAAAAATAGTTTCTTAAATGTGTTCTCGTAGAATAATACTTATTATGTGTTTTTCAAAAGGACACCTGAAATATCCTCGTAATGACAGCACAAGGAAAGTTCAACACATTTTCTAGGCATATTCAAAGGCATGTTATGTGTACCTTATTGATTATCTCTTATATGTTCTCAAATGTGACTGACGAGGGGATCTCGCGAACTGTCACATCGCTTTTCCAGCCAAACCTAGTGGGTTATAGGTTATCAAATATGTTGAATCCGGATATCATAGTGATAGCTGCCCAGAGACCTTCAGAGAGCGTTTTTCTGAAAAACCAATTTTTGAAAAACTCTAAAAAATAAACAACATTTGTTTTTTAATAAGGCATGATTGTATCCCGCAAATTTCTGAGTAAAATGAGACATCTCCCAGCTCTACAGGACCTTTCTTTACAAAGTTATAGAATTTACAAAAAAGCCCTGAATTAATTTCTTATTCCTGTAGCTTTGAGCTGACAATGAACATTTAGGGCTTTTCTTGTAAATTCTATAACTTTGCAAAGAAAGGTCGTGAAGAGCTTGGAGAGGTCTCATTTTAATCAGAAATTTGCGGGCTATAATCATGCCTCATTAAGGAAGGTTTTGGTTACTTTTTAGAGTTTCTCAAAAACTGGTTTTCCAGAAAACCGCTCTCTGAACGTCCCCAGGGAGCTATCACTATGGTACTCGGATTCAGCATGGTTGATAACCTGTAACCCACTAGCTTTGGTTTGGTTGGAAAAGCGATGTGACAGTTCACGAGATCCCCTCGTGAGACATGTGTTTATTCCATGTATTTTTTTTTGTGCTCTTGTTAAAGACATTTTTTATAGTGTAAGTAAGTTCACATGGTTGAAATACGCATTTCGGTTTTAATTAAAAACTGAGGCCAAATTAAGATCTGAGTTTGAATTAATTCTAATTTGGATGGTAGCATTGGCGGGTCACCAACGGGGCAATTGTCCCTTCTGGAAAAAATATCAAGGGCAATAAGCATCTATTGCCCTGTGAAGAATTATATTTCGCAGCAGTGTATTATTTTGAAACTCGAAGTAAAAAAAAAATTATTTGATTGAAAAATTACGCACTCCTGGAAAGTACGTTTCTGCATATACCATTCTAAAAAGTTTATTGATCCCCTAGAAAAAGTTTCCCAACCAGCCCATGGATGATGGATAGACTGGCACAGACTAAATCCGACTCAACTTCGATTGCTAATACACATTTATATACATACTTTGTTTTCTTTCTTTTGTGTATTAACCAATCGTGTATTTCTTTTGACTTAATAAGCGAATTAAAATTTACATCATGTACTGACAAAGAAACCAATTGGGTTATATTAAATATGTATATACAACTATTCATACGTAAAACTAGTTATCAACTATACGTAAAAACGTTTCAAGTAGAGTTTAAACTTACTTAATGGCTTATATTACCTAGTTGATTTTTTACAGGGATTTAAAAAAATAGCAGAAATGATCGAAAATTGTTTACGCTGCGAAAAAAGACATGTATTTTTTAAAAAAAGCATTTGTGATGCATCCCATATTTCCCCAGTCGTTACACGTTAAATTCCATATAAAAAATCGTGTTAGGATGTCTTCAAAGGTAGAGGTCTGCGCGATCAAACATTTTTGGTCCCGATCCCGTCCCGGTCCCATGAAGAAAACAAATTTTGGTCCCGCTCTTGTGGTCCCGTCAATATTTTTCCAAAGTAACGCAAGTAGTTTGAAAGTCAGCCGGTTGTAATGCGGAGCGTGGGACAGTATGCGTGGGTGATATTAATTGAGAAATTTTATAATTTTGTGTGAGTTTTTTCTCGCAGAACTAGTGCCTACATACAAACAAGCACCGAAGCTAGGAAATTTTTATACTCTATACAAGGATATTTTCAAAAAAACGTGGTCTTGGTCCCATTAAAAGCCGTGTGGGACCGGGAACATCCCGCAGAATCGGAACCGTCCAGCAGATCTTTAGGCCTTGGTCCCGTAAGAAGTCCCGTGGAACCGGGACCATCCCGCAGACCTCTATTCAAAAGGCGTCTGAATTCCACGTTTGTGCACCTACGTTGCCTTTGTCATGTTTTAGTTCTTTACTTTAAGACATGATGTCGAATGTAAGATAATATCTGCAAATAGTCTTCAACTTTAAAATGCGGCGCAAGGGAAAAAAGAAAAAATAGAAATTCGGAAAACAAAGAAAGATGAAGAACATCTTGGATGCACTCAAAAAACAATTTAGATAGAAATGAGAGGCATTTGCTCTTAGAGAGCTAAACCAAAGATCCTGGTGATTTTATGTTTGACAGGGAGAATAAAGTGTTCATCTCATTTTCTTTATTCTTTGTAGCTCGAAAACCACCATTCTATTGTGAATAGTGTGTTAGATCCCGCACAGACTACAGTATGTCATCACAAATCAGAATAAGTTATCCACAACTTTTCTTGTTCTTTTGCTGCGTCTTTTGTTCACTATTTATCGATTATCAGGAGTGTTTGCACTTATTATTCAACCTGAAATACATCGAGTAACTTCTACTAACCGATGAAAAGAGAAGAAAAAAAAATACAAAGCAAAACAATAAGAAAAGTTGCTGAGAAACTGCGATAAACAGTGGAAAACTTATTTTAAGTGTTCTGACTTGAACTGGACCTTACGAGAACAGCTGCAATAAAGGCTAGAGCGAACAATATGTTATACACTGAGTACAGATGTTTTTATCTCTCTTACTCCCTTAACTTGTGTCATAATTTTTAATGGTTATGTAACGTTTTATTTGCATTACATTTTTATAATTAACAAGATAGCATAAGTGTACAATCAAGCTTTGCAGAATACATAGAAACTTATTTGCACATAGATTATCTTCTCATCGCACTGTCGATAAAAATGTTGTCATATTGAATTTTGATGGAATAAACTTGTACGAAAATCTAGATGATTACAATCCACTTTAGTTAATTGTCAATAATTCTGAATAGTCCGAGTCTAGTTTCTCTCTTAGTCTGATCTAAAAATATCCTATCTCTTTGCATATTATTTACAAAATGAACCATAGTGTGATATTTTCAAAATGTTGTCTTTTTTTTTTATTGTGGTTTCGATGATCTCCTGTTCGCCATACTTCCATTTAATAACACTGGTGTATAAACTCGTTCAGCTTCGCTTCTTTCTTCTCTTGTTATTTCCGTATCATCCAACATGATTAATCGGGGCAATTGACTAATAACATAATATCGATAATCAATATATTGTGCATACGAACCACCATTGAAAAAACTTGGTGCAGCAGGATTATTCATCATACTTAGATACTTTAGAGACGGTGTACTAAATGATAATGTTTGAATAAATACGGATAAATTTTTAATTTGATTATGATTTATCCATAGAGTATGTAAATGATCCATGTACGGTAATTTTACATTCGATGTGATGCCATTTTTATCTAATATAAGAGTTTTTAAGTTTGGTAAATCAAATAGAAAACGTAAATCAACGAGCCGATTTTCCGATAAATCTAAATAATCTATTGACTCTTTATCTTTTGGTAATAATTTGTCGGATATTGTATCTAAACCTTGAAATGCAAAACTAATTTTTGTATTTCCATTATCGGTTACAATATCATTTCTAAAATCATAAATAGTTATAATTATGGAACAGTAAATGAAGAACTTCTTTGCTTTGCATTAAGTTTATCAAACGGCCAGGAAGGAAAAATACATATAGAGGACGAATATATTCAAACCAAAAATTACATTTCTACTCTCCTATTTAGTGAGTAGTAGTTAAATACATAAGTACAATGAAATTAGCATAATTTAGTTCTATTTTCACAAGTTGATCTTTTCGATTTTTGTAAGTAATCAAGTTGATTTTCATCCACGAGTAGGGATGAGACAGTTCCAGTTCCTACAGTTCTTAGGAACTGGTCACCAGTTGAGTTTCCGTTCAACGGGAACTGATTACCAGTTCTTTTCAAGAATTCAAAATAAAATAAAACTGATGTAGCTAGTTATATTAACTTGGTTTAGTCAACTAAACACACCATCTACCTCTAGCGCACTACACAAAGTCAATGTCAGTGGGTTCACCGGTTTTATTTCAATTTTAATTTATGAAAAAGAACTAGTACCAGATTTCGCTCAAAAGAACTGAACTGGAACTGTCCCACCCCTATCCGCGAGAACACAAATCATCCATAGGCAGGGTTCTCAAATGTTTCCCATTCAACGATTTGTCCCTCACTGGCAATTTTTTTGAAGTCATACTACTTCAGCGTCACATTTGAGAGAGGAAAAGATTGGTGGGTTATTACATAATATGCAAAGATTTATGCCCTCTTTAGCATATCTTGTCATAAAGATCATTATCATATAAGTGTCTGGATAGTTTGTAGTAAACAGAATTATTCTGAGATTTGAGCCGTCCTCAAAAACATCACTCTTCCTGTCTTTGGCGTCTCAGGATTTATCGGATGTGTGATATGAATTTGTCGATAAAACCTAATTGAAGGAAAAAATCTATCGTTTGAAATTCGAAAAATTAGCTTTGAAAGAGTGCACTCTAAATTAGAACTATAAGAAACGACAGTGTAATTCTAATGATAAATGGTTAAAAAATTCACAATATTGATTTTAATTTATTTGCAATATATGACTTTAGTTAAGCTCATCAGATATTTTAGATTGACATGACGTTATTTCGTTAAAATAAGCGTCCCCCATTCGAAACTTTGTGTTCCACATTCCAAAAAAATAATTTGAGACCCCTGTTGATATCATCCTTTTGGAACAACTTTTGCACATCTAGGTATTGATAACTGTTCGTTATTGATCAAGTCACTTTATCTTAGATTATATCCTCCCTTGTACAAGAGATTTATACGATATGCTTACTAATTTGAAAGAAGAAATTTGTTATAGTTCACATACCCATCTTTTTTACTGCGTCTTTTCAAGGTTGCCATATTCAAATAATTTTAGCGAATTCATGTAATATTACCGTAAAGTAACCTTCAATATTCAGAGTGTGAATAAGTTTGTCATATTTATTATTTACACAAAACATGTGATGTCCTCTTGCTTTATTATATTTCGTTACACTTTAATGCTGATAACCTGTATATTACTCATTATGTACTTAAGCTTTAACTGCAAAGAAATTAATTAGATCAAACAATATGAATTGTCCACAGGAGATGGAAAACTATCCAGGAATAGTTAATATAGTGTCCAAGGACCATATTGATGAGAACTACATCAAATTAGTGTCTTCATCGTTATTCTAGCCGATAATTCATCCCTTTTCCCTATAGTTCACTGGTATAATGAAAAATAATAATGGAAATTCGAAACATGTCTCTGTTATAGTGTACTTCTTTTTAAAAATCTCCTTTATATCGCAACTTGAATAACTTAATGATAGAACACGAAAAATCTACTATTTGTTCGAGTTTCATATATAATCGAGTATCCTCTGTTTAAATTTACACTTTCCTACATATGTCATAAGTACAATATATAGAAAAATGAAAATATTAATGTTTATCGTGTTTTCTTGTGGAAATGATTGTTTTCTGTGAATGACGTATGATAGAATTGATCTAAATTTACTTTTTTATCAGCTAATCATAAATGCATTATTCGACTAACATATTTTCTTACTTTTAGTTAATTTTACAACCGCTTTGTAGTTACTAGAGACTCAGACAGACTTCATTTCTGAAAGAATCAAAAGAAGATACCACGATCGGTTTCGATCTTTCTCAAGAGTCTCGTCAGGTGGTTTCCTTCGAGAAAGACAGAGTTAAGGCACGACAAGCAACACAACTCCGTCACATCGTATGAGGATGTTACTATTCCTTGTTCTTATCGAACAAAGAACGATAGGTTGAGAAAGGTTGAAACCGGTCGTGGTATTTTCTTTTGATTCTTTTAGAAATGAATTCTGTCTGAGTCTCTAGTAACTACAAAGCGGTTGTAAAATTAACTAAAGATAATTATTCAAGTCGAGTTTCACATCTATATATTTTTTTATACTATAGCAAAACGTCTCCGCTCCTGAAGAACTTAATTTTAAAATAAAATTTTCATCCGCTTTGGAAATTTTCATACGATGTAAATAGAGGTTAGTATTCTTTGCGGTACTCCAATCCACATTTTGATAATTATTCGTAAGCATCCCTATATTGTTGAGAAAGATCTGTTCTACATCCAGCGATAGATCCATCTCAACAATAACGATAGGGTATCAAAAGCCTATACACACTCTAAAAAAGGTGTTCTATTGGATGTTAATCTCTTTTGTGAAACTTCTCCTATATCTCCGAGAGAAAGAAGAGTTGAAGTTATACTCGAAAACCAGTTTCACCATTTTAGCCCCATAAAGGGCTGCCTCCGACAAAGTCTCTTTTTTAGAGTGACATTTAAAAAACCAAAGTAGAATGATTACAAGATACGATTGTTAAATGAATTTGAACATGATAAAATGCGAGTTTACCGTCAATTGTTCATCAATGTATATTCATGTAGTTTCATACTATTTCAGAATTCTTTTTTCTTATATAACGCGTTTAAAATACTTATTTTTACTATATTTATAAGTAAATTTGTAATATAATTTGCTATTAACAATTAGTTACCTCATATTTTATATTCACCTTTCGATCAATCCGAATATGTCTTGTTTTTGCTGTTTTTACTTCCATTAAGGTCGTCATATGAAGAAGTTAGTTTGTATTATATTTCTAATTTATATTTAAGCTGAACTAATAGTGCGTTGTCATGAACGGATTTGACGAATACTGATAAAGTTTTGCTGCTCAATTGATCTAGCGAGGTGAGCGATGGCTATCTAATACAAAATTCACAACTAAATTCCGTTTTGCTGGTTAATTAGTATCTAGTTATTATTCATCCATTTACCATTATTATACATCGTCTGATTAATAGTAGTAGAAGAGAAATGTTAGTATTGTTAACAGTTCGACTGTCAAACGATAAGTTCATAATCAAATCAAATCATTTCTTTTATTTTGATTAAAAAAACGGATTTTCATCTGTATCAGGTGAGATTTGTCTTTGGTTTTATGTCTTCTGTGATACATATGAGTAAAATTTTTGTATCAACGTACATCATCTTCACAGATGTAATAAATTTGACATGTGTTATACTTTTTTATTAAGGATCAACTTTGTTGATTAAAATGATGCATAGCTTATTTTAATCTTCTCCTGTTTGTTTCAACGGGGAAAGCTTTATTTCAAAAATGTAAACGTACAAAAACAAACTTAGAAATAGCATTATGCAAGTACCAACACTCATTATAGTTGCAACCTCTCAATGAGAATAATAAACAACAAAAGAAAAAATAACCGAACAAATATTACAAAAGTAGAAAAAGGAAAACATAGAAATAAAAAACATGTAAAAGAACAGCATAGTAGGAGAAACAAACAAAAGACAGGTAAAGTGGAAAAGCTGGGCAAACACAACTGTGAGTGAGCGAGTGAGTAGAGAAACGACGATACGTCAAGAAAAAGCAAACAATAATGAACAGAGCAAAGAAATGTAAGATAGATGAAATACCGTATTAAAAACGATTTATAATATCGATCCAACAAGTGATTTAAGTAGCTGAAAGATTTTTTAATCTCAAACTATAGGAAATCAAGTTCTTGGACGCGGTCAAAAAGTTTTTACAAACAATTTGGTCGTATAGAGCAAACATTTCTGGAGAAAACGATATTTTTCTGTGCTCTATGCAACATTTTTTTATTAAACTGTATCCAATTTACGAAAGACCCTCAACAGTCAAATCTAGCGTAAAATCGATAGACAACAGCAAAGGGAATCGTAAACCTTAATGGAATTTTTTTTGTAACAAAGATCTTGGCTTCCTGAATTTTTCTTGTAAGACATTGATAATAAAATGGAAGAAATCCAAGCAATTCTAAGGTGTCTCGAGATCTTGAGAATCATGAATCATTGTTTTGGTTCACACTCTTGTTTACATAAGAGTGTCAAAATTTTTATCCTTAAAACAGTGGCAGAATTTTTTCTTTCTTAGACATAACTGTTCAACGATAAATCGCCTGCGATCACATACGACCTGACGTCTTGAAATTTTCGTTCACAAGATCTTGGTTACAAGAAGTTACACTAAGGAAGGATGTGTCGTAAATGAGATACAGCTACTTTCGGATTTCCTCTGACTATGATGGTTGAAAAACTCAAAAACAAAAAACGCCTTGAAATTTATCCGCCACTGAACGAGAGAAAAATGAAAATTCTCTAAATATTTACATTTCCTTATAGCTTGAAGGATCTATATTCATCGGTGCGATTACGGTTGCCACCTTGAGATAGAAAATCCTTGAGAAAAAAATTTTGTTTTTGTTTTTGAAGTTTTTGCACATTAATAATCTTTTTTTTGGAGGTGAATTTGTATATTAGGGCTTGCCCACATAAAAGTCCGTAACGGTTTGTGAAATTCATAGCACTTCAGCCCAACAACGTACAGAGTTGGGGAACATCTTATTTTGTAGCTTAAAGATTTTTCTTTCAAATGGTAACCACGCAAAGTCTAGCTCTAATCTAAACACCCGCCTATAATCCGCATCAATAAGGCCCTTTTGCACGCAAGCGGCCTATACCAAAAACATCATGTCACTTAAACTAGTCAGCTGCTGGACTTAGCTTAATTACCATGTGAAAGAAAAATCTTCAAGCTATAAAATAAGACATTCCCCAACTCTGTACGTCGCTCGGCTGACGTGCTATGAATTTCACAAAACGTTGCGGGTTTACGTTTTTGGGCTGGTACATTTGGACTGGTCGATTAGTAGATTTAAAAGAAGAAGTCAAACAGTGCAAAAGGCTACTACCTTGATTGTAATGTTTCTAAAAGCATCTTTTCCCGTGAAATTGAGTGCTTCAAACTATAATTTGCTAATACTGTGACTAAATTTCGACGTATATAATGAGGAAAGCGCAGCTACTGACGTATGCCGATATTATCATGCTGGTGATCTAGAATTATTTTTATGTCAGTTTTTCACTACATCTTTTTTTAGTTTGTTTGCTATAACTCTTCTTTAATTTAATGGATAAGAGATTTTAGGTGTTACCAACTTATAAGGAAGTTTATTTAACCAATCATTTATTGTCTTTCGTCTGATCCATATGGCTGTTTTCATTCTCTATTTTTTTTATTTCAAGTACCACTTTCAGAAGACTCGCTGTTATGGGTTTTCAATATTCTTTGTTCCTTGTATGACTATATGTACTCTCATTCATTCTTTTCCCTTCTCTCGTTTCATCATGGTTTATCATTCCGTCTAATTCGCTTTTGTCTACATGTTGTATATACACATACATTCAGAAAGATAGAGGTTTTCAGATTTTTAGCAAACATTTTCCTTCATGTTTATCTTTCGCGTTGATGCGCTTTCGATTGTAAAAAAAAAAGAAGAAGAAGGAAACAGAATAAGAAACACAACGCACAGCACTATATGATTTTTAAAAAAAACGCATTCTCTAATATACTCTGTTGTATGTAATCAGTATTTCTGTGTAATGTGTGTGTATGTATATATACTCTCGTTCGTTCTTTCTTCTTTTTTTCAAGAACTAAAAACAGAAGAGAAAAAACGTCCATATTTGATCATGCGTTCTGCTCCTCGCATTCTTTCCTTGTTGTTTCTCTTTCCCTATATCCCCTCACCCCCTTTCGACTTCTCAACTACTTAGATATGTACAATGTTTTAAGTACGAAAGGGAAGATAATTTTATTCCTGCTTTTATATTGTTATTTGTTCACATAAACAAAAATCATCAATTTTTAGAAAAAGAAAAAAAATCTACATTATTAAACGCATGCGATTAGAAGGTTCGTTTTTTAATAAATAAATCATTTGATGTTTTTACTATCGTGCTAACTCATGTCGCAAATCAAAGCCTGTAAGT